TCCTGGATACCACGGTGCAAATAAGTGACGGTCACATCAATACCACCCTATACCGAAACCTACCGACAGCTATGCTTACCTGCATGCCTCCAGCTTCCATCCCGGACACACCACACAATCCATTGTTTACAGCCAAGCACTGAGGTACAACCGCATATGCTCCAACCCCTCAGACAGAGACCTACACCTACAAGACCTTCAACAAGCATTCTGTAAACTGCGATACCCACACGAGGAAGTGAGGAGACAGATTGACAGAGCCAGACGTGTACCCAGAAGCCTCCTGCTACGGGACAAGCCCAAGAAAGAAACCAACAGAACACCACTGGCCATCACCTACAGTCCCCAGCTAAAACCTCTCCAACGCATCATTAGTGATCTTTCATTAGTAATCTACAACCCATCCTGGACAATGATCCCTCTCTTTCACAGGCCTTGGGAGGCAGGCCAGTCTTTGCCCACAGACAACCCGCCAACCTGAAGCATATTCTCACCAGCAACTACACACCGCACCATAATAACTCCAACTCAGGAACCAATCCATGCAACAAACTTCAGTGCCAACTCTGCCCACATATATACACCAGCAACACCATTACAGGACCTAACCAGATCAGCCATACTGTCACTGGTTCATTCTCCTGCACATCTACGAACGTAATATATGCCATCATGTGCCAACAATGCCCCACTGCTATATACATCAGCCAAACTGGACAGTCCCTACGTAAAAGAATCAATGGACACAAATCAGATATTAGGAATGGCAACATACAAAAACCTGTAGGGGAACACTTCAATCTCCCTGGACACACAATTGCAGATCTAAAGGTAGCCATCCTGCAGCAAAAAAACTTCAGGACCAGACTTCAAAGAGAAACTGCTGAGCTACAGTTCATCTTCAAGTTTGACAAATCAACTCTGGATTAAACAAAGACCGTGAATGGCTTGCTAACTACAAAAGCAGCTTGTCTTCTTTTGGAATTCACGCCTCCAGATCAGCTACTAGAAGTGGGCCTCATCCTCCCTGATTGGATCCACCTTGTCATCTCCAGCCTGATTCTGGCCTGCACATTTATACCCGCCTCTGGAAATTTCCACTACTTGCATCGGATGAAGTGGGTCTTTGCCCACGAAAGCTTATGCTCCAACACTTCAGTTAGTCTGTAAGGTGCCACAGGAGTCCTCGTCGCTTTTGCAGATTCTGACTAACACGGCTACCCCTCTGATACTTGACACCAAACATCTCCCACTCTCTACCTCCATAATTAGAACTTAGAAAGGGAAAAGTGGATAGTACATGTGTTGTGTTTTTTTTATATTTTTACACAACAAGCATAATGTCAAACATAATAATAAACATATCAATATCTAAACTGAAATATTTTGCAGGGAGAGTTCAATTTCAATTAATGACTGATAGAACCCAAGCTAAGGACCCAAAATACCTGCCCATTCTTAGACATCTACCTGAAGCACTAACAGGAAAGAGACCCTAAAAATCCTAAGGAATAGGCCAGATCTTAGGCTTTTGCCTTCCCCTACTCTCAGGAAGGCTAACGGAATCAGAAACTAGTGAGGGGGATTTGGGTGCCTGAAAGTCCTGTCTGAGATATGAACCTCTGATCTTAGGAGCCAGGACTTCCAGGCTCCTTACTTCCCATAAGACCTCAAGGTGTAATTGTTTTGAAAAAAATCATTTTGATTGTGAAACTTTTTTTCCAATTCTATTTTTTCAAAAGAAGAAAAAAAAGTGTGTGTAGGAAGAGATACTCAACCCCAAATGAAGGCATCAATCACAAGCAACAGCAGAAAAGCAAAACATGAGGAGGATTATTTTTTAAAAGCCATTTCTGAAAAATTCAATTTTTGAAATGAATTTAAACAAAATTGCATTCTACTAGAAAATGTTGATTATCATAACAAAATGAAAACTTGGGGTTTTTTTTAGAAAGTTTGACACAAAAATAAAAGGAAAACATTTAGATTTTAGATGGGAAGGCTGGTTTTTATCAGCTCTTTGGACTAACTCTAGTGCTTCAGTTACTATAATCAATACAGGAGCACTAAAACCTAAAGAACAATCTTAAAATTAGTATTAACCTCTTGGTGAGAGTGTTTGTGAGAATCCTACATAGACATTTTGCAAACACAGGCTCAGACAATCCCTCCCTAATTCTAGGATTAGAGGGGGGCTGCAATCCAGGGTGCCTTTCCTGATGTGCTTAGCAAACTTTCTGCACTATCCTGTGCTTGAGACCAAATGGAACTTAGTTGTCTGCAGCATAACAAGATTGATGATCTGTGGGTTTTGTTGGCAAGGATGGAATGGAAAAGAACAGAGCAGAGACCTCTCAGTCGTGGCATATTTTAATGGGTCTTCAGATCTTTGGTCAGAACTCAGAGTGAGAGTTAATGTCAGATTAAGACCCTTAGGTCTCTTGGGTTTCATAACCAGCAAGTAGGAAGAGATTGCCAAGAAGCAGATGTGCCAGCAGAGCAATATAGAGGAAGCAATCCTTCCTTCAGAACTTTCTGTTCTTGGCTTTCCTTTCCCTGTGGAGCCGCAAAGTTGGGAAATCGCACTACATATATTCCCACGACAAGCTGAGAGGGTATTTTCGTAACGCAAACTCTGCTAAGACAATCTGATAGGAGTTTTCTGTCCCCTCTAGCCCTGTCCTGTAGGTGTCTCCATGGATGTGCATGAGTTGGATTATATACTGCCTCAGCATCAAAGCAGGGAAACAGCATAGTGCAATGGATAAAGCACTGGAGTAGGATTCAGGAGTACTGGTTTGAAGAAGTTATGACCTGTGCTCAAAGCATCTATAGTTTAGGAAAACAGAAACAGAGACGACACTGAGAATAATTATACTCACTCACCTTTCAAATACTTTGGGTTCTGGGAATCAAAAGCATTATTAATAATATTTATGTATTGTATTAGTGGCATTACATGGAGCAAGAGAATAAGAACAGCCATACTGGGTTCGACCAAAAGTCCATCTAGCCCAGTATCCTGTCTGCCGACAGTGGCCAATACAGATACCCCAGAGAAAGGGAACACAACAGGTAATCATCATGTGATCCCTCTCCTGTCATCCATTTTCAGACAAAACAGAGGCTAGGGACACCAATCCTACTCATCCTGGCTTATAACTATTGATGGACCTAACCTCCATGGATCTATTTAGCTCTTTTTTGAACCCTGTTAAAGTCCTAGGCTGTGTCTACACTGCACCCCTTTTCCGGAAAAGGGATGCAGATTAGACACATCGGAATAGCAAAATCCGCGGGGGATTTAAATATCCCCCGTGGCATTTGCATTTACATGGCTGCCGCTTTTTTCCGGCGTGGGGATAAGCCGGAGAAAAGCACCAGTCTAGACATGATTCTCCAGAAAATAAGCCCTTTTCCGGAGGATCTCTTATTCCTACTTTCAATCCAATATAGACAAACGCCCATCCCCAGAAGTAGGAAATTGCCCCCTAGTCTTTACAACATCCTCTGGCAAGAAGTTCCACAGGTTAACTGTGCGCTGAATAAAGAAAACTTCCTTTTGTTTGTTTTGAACCTGATGCCTATTAATTTCATTTGGTGACCCCTAGTTCTTCCATTGTGGGAATAAGTAAATAACTTTTCCTTATTCACTTTTTCCACACCAGTGATGATTTTATAGACCTCTATCATATCCCCCTTAGTCTCCTCTTTTCTAAGCTGAAAAGACCAACTCTTTTTAATCTCTCTTCACATGGGACTGATTCCAAACCCCTAATCATTTTTGTTGCCCTTTTCTGAACCTTTTCCAATCCAATATAGACAAACGCCCATCCCCAGAAAACAAACTACCTTGTACCACTATGTTCCCTTTGCAGATATCTTCCCATTCTCACAAACATTACAGTAACACCACAGAAAGACTTTCAAATGATAATGTTATTGTGAGTTTTTTTTATTTTCTTTTAAACATAGTGACACACATGAAATTTTACTCTCTGGCATGCTAGAGACAGTTTAGAAAAATCAATAAGTCCTGTAGTCACAAAACAACTAAGCTTGACCCTTGTGTGCCAACCTAACCCAACTGTATTTCTCCCTATGCAATCTCTTTTCCTTCTCCCTCTGAGACCAAAGATTTATTGCACTGCATTTACTAGAATACCTATTCAAAGATATATTATGTAATGGAAAATATTGAAGTTTCAGTAAAAACCTCCACCTAATTGCTGTTGTTTATTTGTTGAACAGGGTAGCTCAGTGACTCTCCCAGTCTAAAGAGTAAAGGTTGTTTAGTGCGAAAGTGTTAATCTTCAATCATTCCCTTCTGTGTCATATGAAATACTGCTACTGCTCAGCTTTTTAGCTATTTTATGTCTATCAAGAAACTAGTATCCAAAGTAGAGTAACATTAAATCTTCTCTATTGTAGAAGACTGGCCATAAGGCTAAATACCACTGCAGCAACTATTTGCTAAGAAAAAATAAGGAAAAAAGTGTGCCAAGTAAATTAAGGACAATAATAAGACAATGTACTCCCTCAGCATAGCATACTATATACCTCATGGCTATGTCTAGACTACGTTCTATTTTCGAAAGAGGATATGTACCCCATAAGTGGGTAAGAAATTAGGATAACTACCTACTTAGTTTGGAAAGTACTGTATCTTGCCATTATACACTTATCCCCAGATTTTAACTGTGGGCATGCTATGAAGATGAACTATTTGGTAGGGCTTCAGGAAAGGGGAAAAGATGTGGGTGAGACTGGGTAAGATAGGAGGGTTGGTATATGTTGTGGTTTTACTCACCTGCTCCTTAACTTAATTTACTTATGTTGTATATAGATTTTGATATACACTGGGTGATTACTCACTGTAGAGAGATTTTTAAAATAGTTGCTGGGTAGCCTAAGTCTCTTTCCTGTAATGAAGAGCTATAAGCTAACATTTTCCAAATCAGGAGAGGTAAAGTCAAGCAACAAAATCCACAAATACGCACCTAAATAAATGTGATGCTCCATAATGGGTCTCAGGTTGTGAAGGCACCTGACACCACCTGGCTTTAGCATGATGTAGCCTTGCCTGTTGTTACTCAGATCCTTGAAAATAACCCCCTCTGGCAACAGAGAAGCATCGACTTCCAGGTCTCCACAGATCTCACCCTATGTCTGCAGAAACAAACAAACAAAAAAGCAGTCATGTAGCATTTTAAAGACTAAAAAGATGGTTTATTAGGTGACGAGCTTTTGTGGGGCAGACCCATTTCTTCAGATCATATTCTGAAAGTGAATTGGCATGACCATTATATAACAGAGGGATACAATGAAGAAGTACGAATCAGCTACAGAAAGTGGGGGCGAGGGGACAAGGAAGAGACAAGGAAGGAGGAAATGGCTTATTATAACAGTCAGTTAAGTGGCTAATCTGGAGTGACTACAAATATCAAAAGGTGGGGAGGCTGTCTTTGTAATGTGTAAAGTAATTAGCATCTAAATTAAAGCCCATTTGCACCCTGTCGAATTTTAGCAGAAATAAAAGTTCTGAAGTCTCCCTCTGCAATCTGGTGTTAAAGTCTCTTTGTAGTAAGACACATGTTGTCAAGTCTTTAAAGGAATGGAAAGTTTGATTAAAATGTTGGCTGACAGTTTTCTCTGTGTGGAGATGTCTGATTTGTGAGCATTGATTCTCTGGCAAAGTGACTGACCAATATGTCCAATACACATCGCAGAGGGACATTGCTGGCACAAGATGGCATATATCACATTGCTGGACGTACAGGAATATTAACCCTTGATCGTATAACTGATATGGTTAGGTCCAGTGACGGTGTCTCCACAGTAAATATGTGGACAAAGCTGGCAACAGGGTTTGTTACAAGGGAAAGTTCCAGGATTAGTTTTAATGTGGTATGCCTTGTGGTTGTTAGTAAGAATCTTTTTGAGGTTAGGTGGTTGTCTATAGGAGAATACAGGTCTGTCACCCAGAGCCTCTCAGAATGTGGCATCCTGTTCCAGTATAGGCTGTAGGTTAGTGATAATGTGTTGGAAGGGTTTGAGTTGGGGGCTATAGTTAATGACAAGTGGTGTCCTATTGTTGCTTTTCTTGGGCCTATCTAGAAGTAGCTGGTTTCTGGGTATTAGTCTGGCCATTTCAATCTGTTTTTTTACTTCTCCTGGTGGGTAATTGAGTTTTACAAATTCTTGGTAGAGATCTTGAAGTTTTTGGTCTCTATCAGTGGGATTGGAGCAGATGCGGTTGTATCTAAGGGCTTGACTATAGACAATGGATCGTATGGTGTGTCCTGGATGGAAACTGGAGGCATGTAAGTAAGTGTAGCAGTCAGTGGGCTTCCTATAGAGAGTGGTATTGATTTTGCTATCAGTGATTTGTACTGTGGTGCCCAGGAAATGGATCTCTCATGTTGAATGGTTTAGGCTGAGATTGATGGTGAGGTGTAGGTTGTTAAAATCTCTGTGAAATTCATCCAGTGTTTCTTGACTATGGATCCAAATGATAAAGATGTCATCGATGTAGTGTAAGTAAAGGAGGGGTAATAGGGATGAGAGTTGAGGAAATGTTGTACTAAGTCAGCCATAAAGATGTTGGAGTACTGTGGGGCCATGCAGGTACCCTGGCTGTGCTGCTGATCTGGAGGTATAAGTTGTCCCCAGATTGGAAATAATTGTGGGTAAGAACGAAGTTACATAGATCTGCTACCAGATTTGCTGTGGTAACCTCTGGGATAGTGTTTCTAACTGCTGGTAGTCCATTTTCATATGGAATATTGGTGTAGAGAGCTTCTATATCCATGGTGCCAAGGATGGTGTTATCAGGAAGGTTATCAATGTTTTGTAATTTTGTCAGGAAGTCAGTGGTATCTCAGGGTATGTCTACACTACCACCCTAGTTCGAACTAGGGTGGGTAATGTAGGCAACCGAAATTGCAAATGAAACCCGGGATTTAAATATCCCGGGCTTCATTTGCATCTTGCCGGGCGCCGCCATTTTTAAATCCCCGGTAGTTCGGCTACATGCGGCACGGAGTAGGTAGTTCGAATTAGGCTTTCTAATTCGAACTACCGTTACTCCTCGTTCCATTAGGAAGCCTAATTCGAACTACCTACTCCGTGCCACGTGTAGCCGCGGGCACGGAGTCCGAACTACCAGGGATTTAAAAATGGCGGCGCACGGCAAGATGCAAATGAAGCCCGGGATATTTAAATCCCGGGTTTCATTTGCAATTTCGGTTGCCTACATTACCCACCCTAGTTCGAACTAGGGTGGTAGTGTAGACATACCCTGAGATACCACTGACTTCCTGACAAAATTACAAAACATTGATAACCTTCCTGATAACACCATCCTTGGCACCATGGATATAGAAGCTCTCTACACCAATATTCTTGTTGGTAACATAGGGTTTGAGGAGGGAATCTACATAGCTAGATCATCCTGAAGTGAGTGCGCTGATACCTGAAATGATAGGACGTCCAGGATTTCCAGGTTTATGGATTTTGGGAAGCAAAGAGAATAATCCTGATAGGGGTTCAGAAGGCATGTCTGTGTGAATTTGGTCCCGAGTAGAGGCAGGGAGTTCCTTAAGAAGATGGTGTAGTTTCTTTTGGTATTCTGAAGTGGGATCAGAGGAGAGAGGTCTGTAAAATGTGGTGTTGGATTGTTGTCTAGCTGCCTCCTGTTCATAGTCCGACTTATTCATAATGACCACAGCACCCCTTTTGTCAGCTGGCTTGATTATAATGTCAGAGTTGGGTTTGAGACTCTGGATAGCATAGCGTTCAGTGGCTGAGATTATATGTCACTTGTTGTTGTTTGTGCATAATGTCAACCTGTGCATGGTTGCAGAAGCATTCAATATAGAAATCCAGACTGTCATTACGATTGTCGGTGGGAGTCCATAGATTTTTTTTTCTTTTGGTGTTGGTAGGGTGGGATCTAGCCAATGAGCTTGATGTTCATTGGTGACTTGGAAGTATTCCCATAGACGGAGGCGGCAAAAGAAGGCTTCAGGATCACTACAGAGTTGAACCCAGTTTGTGGGGAAGGCCCCAGGATAAGAGAGACTCTTCTGCTGGGCTGAGTCTGTAGCTAGAAAGATTAACAATATTATCCGGTGGGCTGAGATAGTCGCCATTGTAGTATCCTGTGGCATGGAGTAGTTTAGAAAGTTTATTGTCTTTTCTTTTTTGTAGGGAGTAGAAGTGTGCATTATAGATTTCTTGTCTGGGGGTATGTCTAGACTACATGCCTCTGGCGACAGAGGCATGCAGGTTTGGCTAGCCAGCATAGGAAAATGAAGCGGTGATTTAAATAATCACTGCTTCATTTAAATTAAAATGGCTGCTGCGCTGAGCCAATCAGCTGTTTTTCGGCTCAGCGTGCTAGTCTGGACGCTCCACAGTTGACATCAAAGGCATTGTTGACCGCCCAATTATGCCTCATGGGCATGAACAGGCTGGAAATCACTTCCTCCTCGAGACTCCAGAGCTTAGCTGAGTGGCAGAGAGGCTTCCTAGTGCCAGGGCTTTGGCACATGCAGGCTTCCATTCCCTGAGCCAGAGGGATTTGGGCTTTCCCATGGGACCAGCCCCAACAGAGGTAGAGGGAGAAGGAATGAGCCTGCTAGGCAGGCTATTGGTGAGCAGAGCTCACTGACTAGGGACTGGGTCTCTGCACAGCACTGTGAGCAGGACATGCTCCATGGTGAGGATATGGGGGGGGGGGCGCAAACCAGAGAGAGGACAGCAAGAGGGGGAGCACATGGAGAGCTGATGGGTGAGCATGTCACTTTCTGCTGCCTGGTGTCTGCCTACATTCATTCACCAGCCACTGCAGTGGGTAACCAGTTCTGGTCAGAAAAAGGATGGGGAGTGAGGAGGCCTTTCTGGCCAAAAGCTAGCATGCAGCAGGGGCTGTGTTGACAGACCAAATGGGGGAGCAGTTGGCTTTGAATGCTGCATCTTTGCTCTACCACCAGCCTTGCACATCCATCCTCATCGCTGGCCACTACATCTAGACTCCCCTCTCCAAATGTACCATTGGTGGTAATACAGCTGGTGACCAAGGATCTAGCCAGCAGTGGCAGGGCAGCTAAAGAGCAGGCCTCCAACCAGCAGCAGGACCCTCTAGCACTGATGTGGGCAGATGTGCAAATAGAAATATGAAACAATTTTCCAAGAAAAAAAAGTGAAAGACACCTGCATACAAGACTACTCCTCTAAAAACAGTGTGTCTAGTGAAAGACACCTGCATACAAGGATGACTTGCATACAAGACTACTCCTCTAAAAACAGTGTGTCTGGTCACCCTAAATACACTTATAGCAACAACAACAAAATCTTTGTAACTACAGATAGCAGTCAAGGATGAGGCAAGGATAGAAGGCAAAGAATAACGTGCTTCTTAGTCTAAAGTTTTAACTTTAACAGGTTATAATCCTTTTTTTAAAACAATGTATCACCTAAAGCAGCCTTTCAGTTTCACTAGCCCATTTGGCCATGATTCAGCTTTCGTGAATACAAAAAGGCGCTGTCCTATTTGCTTTCCCTTAAATCACAAAATGTGCTGCCTTTGCACATCAGAGATAAGACAACCCTCTACGGTTTTAGTCTCTGGTGTCTTCCCAGGTTTACTTCACATTCCTTGTTGATTTGGAATCCAGATGTAGCTCCCATTGTGTTTGGCTTACAAAGCTTAATGTACCTATGAAATGATGCAGATGAATAAACATCCTCTGTCTGACAGAAGACTTTCATCAACACTGCCTCTAAAACATGTTTTAGGAATTTATCTTGAGCACGCATACATAAGTATTGATACAACCACCTGTGCACTTATATCACCTGGCGATTGAGCCTCAGTAATGATGCAAGCTTCCATTAGATACCTTAGAGCAGTGGTTCTCATACTTTTTGGGCTCCAGAGCCCTTTACATGTGTAAAAATTTATGCAGCGCCCCAGCGGTTCACTGATTGTATGTGTTGTACCTATTGATGTTGGCGGCATTAGACCTCGCGGAGCCCCTGGAGATGTCTCGCGGAGCCCCTAGGGCTCTGCAGAGCACAGTTTGAGAAACACTGCCTTAGAGGAACCTTTGTAGATAAATACTCTGACTGCAAAGTGCTGGGTATAGTGAGTTTGTCAGGTTTCGGGGGAGTTGCCATTCTAGAACAATGACCCCTTTGCCAGTGGCATCAAGAGGTTTTTAGGAACACGTCACCTAATTGTCAGAGGTGTGAGATAGCCATTGCTCCTATTGACTCAATGGGCAGTGTGTGTTTGGCACCAATACAATTCAAGCCACTTAATATGAAATGTGGACTTAACACCCTAACTCTAAATATCCAGCTTTGAAAATATTGTCCAAGAATTTGTTGCTGAGCATAGCAATCTTCAAGGCACTGAGGCCCTAATGTATAAAGTGCCATAGATCTACAATGGAGCAATGACAGTTTTCACCTACAGGGTGGCTCCTGTTTTTCCCATATGGATGGGAATGTGGGAAAGTAGTTGAACAAGAGTTATTGAAAAGCAGATCTCCAATTATAACTGAAATTATGGCACTCTGTTTATATAGCCTCTCAATGGGAAAGTACATATTGCTTTCAAATTAAACAAGGGGAGCTCCTGGTTAGTGGTTCATTCAATTAATATGACAAACTTGTGCTGCATGATATAGGGTTCAGAAACAGATATATGGTCTATGTGAGGCATTTTTGCTCTTTTCTTTCTCATTGTGACTTTCAACGTGAGGAGGGAGAAAATATTCTACAAATTAGAGGCCAGTAATAGGATGGAAAAGCTCACGCAGTGTATGCACTGTAGTGGAGCAAAGTAAATCTGATTTTCTTTTCTTTTCTTTTCTCCTCCCCCATTACTGCACTGAAAAGGTATTTTTCTGCTTTGTGCAATAAATAGTAGTTTTAGTCTCTGCATAATTGTGCATTGATTCAGCCAGCCTTCTAATTAATTGCAGCATATGTGACCAAAGATACAGGTTCTGTTAGCATACAACTAGCTTGTTATCCTCTGCATGCATATTTTCAAGCCCACATACTAAGAAAATGTTACAGTGGACAACATATTTATCTTTTGCAAATGATGTAAATTGGAATTTGTCTTCCACTACAAGGATAAATGGTACAAACCTGTGTGTCATTAAAAAAGCACTACATTGCAATTTTAGACAGAATCTCAAGTGTCTGTATGCTTTATAATGCTGGAGAGTTTTAAATTCTGCTCCATTGACCTTACTTTGATTCATATAGGGTCTCTGTTGAAGAAGTTCAAACCCAAGTGTGGGATAGGAGACAGAGTGAAAAAAATACATAATGCATTAGATCCCTGAACCAGAAAGCACTTTTAAAAAGTTATTTCCAAATAGAGATAAGCTGAAGTTCCAAAAGCAGAAAAAGCTAGTCACTACTGAAGCCAACCAAAGACAGAAATGTGAGATGAAGCTTGACCTTGAACAAAGATTCTAGGGCATTCAGACCCTAAGACAGCCACCACTGTGGTAAAGATGGATGAACTTATCTTTTTAGCATCATTTACACAGGCATTTTGGCTTTAAGCCATGAGTCACACTGGAAGCACATGAGGGACTTTGTGCTAATATCAGCTCACTAAGGCTATGTCTACACAGCAGCATTATTTTGGAATAACCGACATTATTCCAAAACAACAAAGAGCCTGTCTACACTGAAAACCATTATTTCGAAATAATGTTGAGCTGGAAGACTTCTTACTCCAGCTCCTGTAACCCTCATTTTATAAAGAATAAGGGAAGCTGGAGGAAGAATACTCTCAGACTTCCTCCTGAGTCGACAGCACCAAAAGCTGAACTATTTCAACTTAAGCTATGCAATTGGTGGAGTTCAAGTTGTGTAGCTTATTTCATCTTTAGCCCTGCTATGTAAACATGCCCTGAGAAATTGTGCTTGGAGAATTGAGGGAGCACAAACAGCTGTGGTGCTCTTTGCAAAGAAGGAAGGAACCACTGTTGTCAGTAAACAAATTACATGCATCTTAAAGTGCAGGCATTAATCACAAAAGGAAAACCTTCTGCTGAACTGCATATTTCATGCAATATGAAATGGCGAATAAAGGCAAAGGCTGCAGATGTATCAGTCAGCTATGAGTTAATAATAGAGAACAAATTTACATTTCGACAGTTGTCTGCAGTTAGACAAAACAGGAAGACCTCAGGCTCTTGAATCAAATGGAGATATATGGATGTTGCTCAACAGAGGAAAATAGGCTAGTAACAAGGACTGTGGGGGAGGAGGGGAGCAAAACAGTATGGCAAGAATAGGTCAGCTTGAGTTAAGACGCTGCAAACTGAGCCTTTCCAGCTTCACTCATCACCATTCGTTGTCCCCTTCATCATTCTTATAGAAACACACACACACACACACACACACACACACACACACACACACACACTTTCTTCATTCATATTTTCCCCAGTTAGTAAAATTCCAGTTTATCCAGACTGTTTGTATTAATCCAACAAGAGGAGTGACAGTGATGTTGTTCTCTTGACCTTTTTCAAACCTTTTGTTTTTCTTCAGCATACTTTCTATAACTACCTGAAATTGAGTATCTTAATGTGATCTGACAAAATCCATAGGTGTCCTATACTGAGTCTAGTGGCAATATTACTGTGGAAATCAGACCATTTCTTTAGGCTTTTTTTTATACGAGCTGTCAGAACATTTATACAGAATCTCAGGGGAATAGAGTTAAAGTGAACAAAACAGGCTCACTATGCATTTCTAGTTCTTCCTGGTTTCTGACTGAATTGAATATATCAAGCTGATGATATTTCTGCTTCTGGATGTAGGACTCACTGAGCTGACCCCAGTTAGAATAAGATATAACTGAACAAGCCCAAAGCAGTAAAAATTGTTGAAATAACTATTGTGAGTATATAGTAAATAAGAGACAGAAAATAACTATAGTAACAAACACCCTGAAATGATATCTGCAAAGCAACTGGTCTTTCTATGCAAGAATTATTGACGTTAATAGCAAAGAAAGATATATACAAAATCAGTGATGTGTTACACAAATTGAAATTGTGGTATCACCCTACACCTGACCAGCCTGGGCAAAGAGCTGTTACATGCCTAATGAGGTAACCTGCATGATAAGCTGGAGTCAAACTCAGTCTTCTGTATCCAAAAGGATTGGATGAATTGTTCTCTCAAAACTGGACAAGGGGTTCTAGATAAACTGAGTAGAAAGGTGTGGAAGGGAATCCCAATATTACTCATGCTGTGACTCAAACCTATATCTGGATTAGGTGACCCAGAATTATTTGTCTGGTACAGGTAATGTATAGATTTTATTATATGTATATCCTTAATGATCAGTCTCAAAAGCTAAGTGCAGACATCAAAAATGGAAGATTTAGGGAGTTGAATGGCTGGCAGTGAAATTGGCAAGTATGACTCTTTCGAGTGCTGAGCAAGGGGGGGCTATATCTATGTCAGCAGCAGTAAGGTCAGTAAAGGAAAAGAGGTTGTGTCTATTCAATATACTGTGGATCACCAAGGTGTGTCCCAGAGGTGATAGAAGTATATCCCAAGACATGGGGATCTCTAAACTGGGCAGTGGTAGAAGGAATAATGGAAGGGGGGAGCAACCCACATACCACAAATAATACCCACTAGCTAAAAACCTAAAGGTCCAATAAGGTGGTAGTGGGATAAGTGAAAAAGTCTATGTCCTTGGTAAGTAATTCTCCATCATGGACAAAGGAAAAAGCCAGCAGTTGATCGGAGATGAACTAAAGCAGTGCAAATGACAAGGTAAAATATAGTAGCTGTTTATCCAGATATGATTGCAAAAATCTCTCCTACAACAAAGTGGGTTTTAGTATTGAACATCAGTAATGATTTCTGGATGTTGCCCCTGACCCTAAAAAGTCATTCATGGATTGTCAGGTACAAGTCTCCAGCTGTTTTTCTAGCACATATGAATCACAGTTTTAAGGACAGGCTTGTTCAATATGTTGATGATGTATTAGTGCAGTCTCCTCACTGAGGAGGAACACAGACAGTGCTTGCAGGAGGCAGGGAAAATACTAACAGCAGGAAAGCACAGCTGGCTATGAGAAAGGTTACATTCCTGGGAGTGACTGTAGATGAGGGGGGACAAATGATGAACATCATCCGAGCTGAATTAATTTCTAAATTACAAATCCCTACTAATAAGTGAGCATTACAGTCCTTTTTGGGGAATCACCAGATTGTACTGCTAGAGGGAAAAGCATCAGCTAGACAAGTTAGCAAAAAAGATAATGCAAAAATTGACTCTGGCATTGCTGTGAGAAAATGTAGAAACAGTATAGCCAAAAGAACGAAATAAATAGATTGCAGGGAACTGCATGCAGAGAATGTCCCACAAATGTGAATCCAGTCCAACTACCACTGAACATCCAATCTTTAAAGGACTAAATGTTAGCAAAATTAGAGAGGAGATGTGGAGTACGAATGGCAGAAGCCATTATGTAGCGGGACAGAGAATAGGTTGCTTGGCAAGGGTAATTCTTAGAGATGGAGTGATTATAAATATTTTGCAGTATAACTATGAGAGTTGAATCAGCTCATTGTTTAGAACCTGCAGCAATTACTAGGGTACTGATGGAAGAAAAAAAGACCCAGCTCTAAGCTTACCATAGTCTTGCGTTCAGGTTGGATATTCAGAGAAGCAGTGTTTATGCTGGCCTGGTGGGCTCCAAATAAGTTTGAGGCTATAGATGGAGGAGAAATCTAGTTCAGTATTTTATGCATGATATGAGGAAACATTTTGAAAGAGTGGGTAATAGCAAAACATTTGCATCATCTGACCAAATTCACAGAAGTAAGTTATACTAAAATTAAAAAGTAGAATGTACTAAACTTTTCCAAACTTTAAAAGGTAAGGATTGTGTCTAGCAACAAATATATTCCAGGCCTATTAGCTCTGTCCCATTTATAGTGTGGTAACACTCAGGGAAAATCCAAAAGTAAATATACAGCTTTACTTATTAAGGCCTCAAAATATCAAAAGGCACAATACAAAACTGATTGGATGTGGTCTGTTGAGACAGAGCCATTTCATCGATTTTGACTGCAAAGCTTCAGGGAACTTGTAAACTGGCTAGACACAAATTATCTTCAAATACACCATCAAAAGGACTACGAAAAATGTATCAAAAAAGAACATGGATAATTATGTATCTGACCTATTGAAAGTGAAATGAATGTTTCAGAGCAGTTGGCATTTTTACTAAGGTTTCATCAATTCTATATAATGCATCTCAAGAGGAAGATGACAACTGAGATATTCAAATACAGAGATATTCAAAGGTCAAGGAGACCAAAATGCAGGCTTCCCTCTGCATTTATGGTCAAAGAATGAGAGACAAAAAGACAGATTTAGCAAAACCATCAAATCAAACCTGATAAGGAAACATGACTAGTGAAAATGCAAAAGAAAATAGTGGCTTATTACAAGAGTTATAAAAATGTTTGTGGAAATTGAAGAGCAAGGTAACTACAGCAATGAGAAACTCTGGAGAATTTCTCCAAACAGCGAATAATCATTCTGTGGTCAATAAAGTACAAATAACAAATGCTTTTCTGACAGAGCAATTTTAGTAATGATATTATTCAAAGGTAATTTTTGTCCTTTGGTGTTTAGACTGACCAAGTAAGCTTTTAACAGAAATCCATTCTCTATAAAGGTAATGTAGCTGAATTCTTTCCTGGAACATAAGCTTGATTCACTCATCATTATGTAAGTATGATAATATCATACTTACACACAATTTTAGGCCTATATTAGCCAGGTCATATAGGGTAAAAATGCACTTAAACCAACAGTTACATGGCAAATATTCGCATAGTAAATACTTCTGGCTTAGGCCTTTGACAAGCTCTAATTCCTATCATGCATTGTTCAGCACATAAATGTGACAACCACTTGCAACATGTTGATTATTGAAAAACAAAAAAGTATGTTGTGGGCAACCCCTGGCAAATGTAACTTTCTGCCATGCTGGCTCTCTAGTGCTGGATTTCTGACCTTGTTTCAATATTTGATTTAACACTCTTGTGGTTATTTTTATTCACATATATAGAACTATTATTGTAATCATTTATAAATAATTGCAGCTAGTCCTGGGGCAGGCAGACACTTTTCTCCCAATCTTTATTCACTACTAAGGGCCATTTGGGCCCAGACCCTCAAATGGTACTTAGGTGTTGCTCTACTTTGCATTGCAATGCTTAACTCCATGCAGCCTGCCACCTAGTGAAATGCTGAGTTAGGCACCCACTCTCCAAGAACAATGCAGAGAGAGGTAGGCGCCTAAGAAAGTGATCCTGTGAAACCAGTAATGAGACCTACTCTAGAATTGAAATGTTAAGAATCAGGACAGGGAGAGGAGAGGAGCTCAGGAGCTTCAGGTGACAAGGTGCAGCTGAATAATAGGATCAAAATAAATGCCTCTTCACTCAGGATCTTCAGCCACAAACACTTTCCTGTAACTACTGTAAGTGGCTAACTCTGAAATATATGTCTGCACTATAATATGAGGTGAGGAGTAATGTAACTTGAGTCAGTGGATTCTGGGTTACAGAACCCAAGGTTTGAGCATTTACATTGATTATCATACCGAGGTCAAGAATTTCACCCAAACCCCTACACAAAGCTGCAGCATCCACACTGCAGTATGCAAACCAAAGTCCAGCCAACCACAGCCCAGACTTTAGTGCTGCCCTACCAAAAACACAGCCACTCTTGCCCTTTGTTTTCTCACCCTGCTCCATGAACATGATTGTCCACCCAGCACATTACAAGAAGCAGGAACAGGCCACCAAAACATCCTGCCAAGGACTTATTTTGGTCTGCACACAACCAGCAACCAAAGCCACTACCATGGTGGAGATGCCATTTCAAGACTTGTGTTTTTCACTGCTGTTTCGGGAAATGGGCTGAGCTTCTGTGAGATGCTGGTGGGCATTTAGGTGGTATTTTCTGATCCCCTCAAAAAAGGCATCTGACAATTAAGGATTATGACAGACACGGCAGCCTCACAGTATCGGATGATGCTCATGACACTCAGCCACACAAGAGAGATTCAGATGCCATCCAGTTGATTAGCAGAGTACCCACAGTTAGTTTTTTTTTCTTTCTACTGGTAGTGCACATTCACACATGCCTCAGTGAACATAAAATTTATTCCACACATGGAGGGAAAAATACACACATGGATGGAAAATATTAGAGGGAACATTGGTGCAGACCCCAAAGATTGGATAAGTTACATAAGTTTTCATATATGGGTGCTTGTCTGGGCTGACAAACCTTTAAACTTTCTAGTGGTTCTCCATCATGAGCTGTTAGCTTGTAAAAAGTGTCAATCTCCATAATCTCCATGCTTTGCCAGAGGCTTGAATTTATCCATCAATTAATTCTTTCATGATAAAAAGGATAGTAAATATGAGTGACACAATTCTTCTACCTGAGACAGCTATTCATTAGTGGAAACATTCTCCTAAACAAAGAATTGTTGGCCATTTCATTATCTTCCTCTTTTTAAGTAAATTTACAAAACATTTATTTTTCTTTATCTTCTTTACTTATTTTTAAAGTAATTGTTCAATATACTGAAAAGTCCCATATTAATATTCAGAGGTAAAGCCCTCTGGGTATCCTCAGAAAGGTACAATAGTCAGGAGCAATGGCAATGAATGCCAGCACACCAATCCCAGCACACCAATGGGCCCCAAGGAGGTCTGGTTCTAGCAAAGGCAGTAAGACAGCCTCAATTCATATGAAAACTCTAGGTGGCTCGTGATACTTACTGTCATTTGTGAGGGAGTTTGTGATGTATATCCCTGCCCCCAGAAACCATCTTTGGTTTTCATACTGTTTTTATTATTATTATTGTTAAATATGTTTAGTACTGTAGTACCCAAGGCCCGAGTCTTGATAAGGGTCCAATTGTAGTAAGTGCTGTATAAAGTTATATGAGGAAATATCCCTTGCTCTGAAGAGCTGACTGTGTAAGAAAACAGTTAACATAGGGAATGCAACAAGAAAATTATAACAAAATATGCTGCACATTTCTTTAAAACAATTAGATTAAAATCTTCATTCCTTCCTGAGACTGAGTCCTCTTACTCCAGACAGGTAGGTGGTAATGAAGCAGGATAAGACCTGCTCATGCTTATAGCTCAAGGGAAGGCCTGTGGCTTGAGAAACAGCTTAGACATCCATCCTGAGTACTCACTAGGCAGCCCACAGAAGGAGTGCAGAACAGATGTTCAAAGTGACTGACAGCAGCTATCCCCCTTTATCAGTGCTGGATTCATGCACGAGATAAGACACATCTTAGGCCTCAAATTATAAGGGGCCTCTAAATAGAAAAAAAAGTATTCATTTTTAAGTGCATCCCTGCCTATGTACTGGTGTATATATGCAAATATCAAACTTTATTTCTATTTTCATTGTCCTTTCTACTAGAATAATACACATTTTTTGTAATGCTATGAGGCCTCTTAAACTTGTCATAGCTTAAGGCCTCAGCATGTCTTAATCCAGCCCTGCCCACTACAGATAAAACCTGAAACGTTAGGCATATAACAAGCATGCGGGGTGATATTGGTGTATTTCTCAGTACTCTAGTTTGGAAATTGACTTAACAGTAGCTGGGGCAACTTAAACAGATGAATCAACTGGAGGAGAAGGGGGTGAGATATAGCCCACCCTTTTTAGGGTAGCAGATGAACAACATTATCCGAAGGAGAGTATGGCAATAGGCCTAGTCAGTCAGTTTAGGTATATCAAACTCTTTACTTCATCACCTTTCAGGTACTGAACAACAAAATGTGGCAGTTGGAGGTGCTACCCTGCTTTCCCAGAGGAGGAGCCACATGGATTTTGAAGCACAACAGAAAACAAAAAATATGCAATAAAAAAAACTGTACATGCACTACTTGTCCATGTGAATGCAAAGCTCATAGTTTCCACTTTCATCCTCCCTGCATGTTTCCAATCTTCCTATTCTTTTAGTTTAGTCTTTTGGCCAGGGAATCTCGTTTTAAAAAGCACTGTCAATAGCATGATGTAAATAATTAAATAATGGAGTCAAATAGACTAGAAAAACTCTTCTCGCCTCTAATTTCTCTCATTTAATTCTGATGACAAATTTAGTATACTCGCTAAAAATGGTCATATGGACAATATATTCTAATTGAGGGTTTCCATCTTTGTAAGCTTCCTGTGGGTTTTATAATACACTATATAGTCTCTGAAGCAGGAACCTTTTAATGGATACCTTAGTTCTGGATGGCAAGTTAGTAAAGATTACAGTGGGACAGACAGCTAGTAGTAGAAAAAAGAAGAGTGAGAAAAGGGATCTAGTGTCTGTATTAATGGAATGTTAATGCCCAGGATTTAAACTGAAATTTTAAACTGCCTTTTTTCCTCGTATATAGGATACTTGAGATCCCTCAGGAAGGGAGAGAGAAGGCTACTTAAGTGAAGATTTTAATCTCTAGACAAAATAAATGGTGCTTTAAATTTAGAGCTTTGAAAGTTTTAAAACTTTCTGCATATAGAATATTTGTGTTTACATTTAGCTTGCTCCCTTTGTTGTTGTCTAGTATTACTGTGGGGGCGCCCTTAATACATCATAATATTATATCCACATTTCCCAGTCTAATTAAAATCCATTTCAAACAACTTTAGAGAGTCATAATTTG